CAACAGCAACAATCGTTTTAAACATGTTTGCTCTTATCTGCTCGAGTGTCCGTTAACGAGTATTTCCTAAATCATCGATACCCGCCTTCGTCGTCTTCGATCGTGCCCCTTTTGAGGGGTATGCCTTTCGGACCGTCGGCCTGGCCAGCGGCAGCGCTGATCGGTGGCAACCCGACCCCAAGAGGGACGGACAGGGGACCGACCACGACGACGACGACGACGTCGACGACGACGACGGCGACGACGACGACGAGCGAAAACGAGAGCGAAATAGAAAACGACAGCAGGGCCACGAAGGGCATGAAGTAGGCCACAAAGGGCGACAGTGGGAACACAAAGGGAATGCGTATGGGGCCACGAAGAGCGCGAACGAGCGGGGGCCACGAAGGGCAGATAATGCGGGGCCTCAGAAGGCAACGATGGGGCCACTGAGGGTAGCAACTGGGCCACGTAGGACAGGTAGGGACCACAAAGGGCGACAGCGGGGCCGCGAAAGGCATGCACGTGGGGCCACGACGGGCGCGAACGAGCGGGGGCCACGAAGGCCATGTGTATGTTGGGCCGCGGAGGGCAAGGACGGGGCCACTGAGGGCAGCAACGGGGACACGAATGGCAGCAATGGGGGCCGCAAAGGGCATGCATATGGGGCCACGACGGGCGCGAACGAGCGGGGGCCACGAAGGGCATGCACATCTGGTGCCGTGAAGGGCAGCGAGGGGGCCACGAAGGGCTGCAACGGGGCCACGAAGGGCAGCGAGGGGGCCGCGAAGGGCTGCAACGGGGCCACGATGGGCAGCGAGGGGGCCACGAGGGGCTGCAACGGGGCCACGAAGGGCCGCAACGGGGCCACGAAGGGCAGCGAGGGGGTCGCGAAGGGCTGCAACGGGGCCGCCGCGAAGGGCAGCGAGGGGACCACGAAGGGCTGCATCGGGGCCACGAAGGGCAGCGAGGGGGCCACGAAGGGCTGCAACGGGGCCACGGTGGGCAGCGATAGGGCCACGAAGGGCTGCAACGGGTCCACGAAGGGCAGCGAGGGGGCCACGAAGGGCCGCAACGGGGCCACGGAGGGCAGCGAGATCCCGATCATTGAATAATCTGTGAGGAAGTCCCAAGCGTCAGCGCGACTTTTGGGTGCCTGAGTGGCGGGAGCGCGGCGCTTGAGTAAATTGCGGGAAATTCCAACGCAAGGGCGATATTCTTTAGTACACTGCAAGCAAATCTCCAGCGTGAGCGCGATTCCAGAGCGTCGATAAAGCGATTTTTGAATAAATTGTATGGAAGTCCCAAGCGAGAGCGCGATTCCTGAATACAATGCGAGGAAGTCTCATGCGGGAGCGGGGTTCCTGGCTAAATTGTGAGGAGGTCCCAGGCGGGAGCCGTTGTTGAGTTCTCATTTCTGAAATATAATTATTGTTGATCCCCCCACCGGTGCATACTGTTTTTTCTTAATCAAAGTGTGCCCCTCGACGCTCGCACCCTGTTTTTTGACAGGGAAAGTCTTCCTGCTCAAACTGGCCCCCTGGCCCCGGGGTTACAACAACAACGGCTCCCGCCTGAGACTTCCTCACAATTTAGCCAGGACCCCGCTCCGAACCGAGACTTCCTCGCATTTTATTCAGAAATCGCGCTCTCGCTTGGGACTTCTTTGCAATCTATTAAGGAATCGCTCTCCCGGCGCTCTGGAGTCGCGCTCTTGTTGGAGACTTGTTCGCAACTTACTGAAGAATAGCCTTGCGTTGGAATTTCTTGCAATTTGCCCAAGCGCCGCGCTCCCGACACCCAGGCACCCAGGAGTCGCGCCCGTTGTGGCCCCATTTGCATGCCCTTCGTGGCCCCGCTGTCGCAATTTGTGTCCCCCTCACTGTCCTACGTGGCCCAGTTGCTACCCTCAGTGGCCCCATAGTTGCTTTCTGTGGCCCCGCATTATCTGCACTTTGTGGCCCCCGCTCGTTCGCGCTCTTCGTGGCCCCATACGCATTCCCTTCGTGTCCCCGCTGTCGCCCTTCGTGGCCTACTTCGTGTTCTTCGTGGCCGTGCTGTTGTTCTCTCTCGCTCTCGCTTTCGCTCGTCGTCGCCGTCGTCGTCATCATCGCCGTCGTCTTCGACGTCGTCGTCGTCGTCGTCGTCGTCGTCGTCGTGGTCGGTCCCCTGTCCGTCCCTCTCGGGGTCGGGTCGACGGTCCGCGGCCGCGCCGCCGATCAGCGCTGCCGCTGGCCAGGCCGACGGTCCGCGGCCGCCCCGCCGCTTGCCGGGGCCCGGCCTGCAGGGAAGAAAAGTATACCCCCCAAAAGGGGTTCGATCGAAGACGAAGAGGGCGGGTATCGAGGGTTTGGGAAATACGCGCTAGTGGACACTCAAGCATATAAGGGCGCACAGTCTTAAGATTATTGTTGTTGTTGTTGTTGTTGTAATCCCGGGGCCAGGAACATGGTTTGAGGAGGATGATTTTCCCTGATGAAAAACAGGGTGCGAACGCCGGGAGGGGCACTTCAATTGAAACATACACTGTGCACCGGAGGGAGGTATCAACAATACTTATTCTTTCGTTGTGAGAATTTCAGCAGCACCGCCACCATCAACAACAACAACAACAACAACAACAACAACGCGAATAACAACACCAATAACACGACCACCACCACCAACAACAGCAACAACAACAACAATCATTTTAAGACTGTTCGCCCTTATCTGCTCGAGTGTCGAATAACGCGAATTTCCCAAACCCTCGATACCCGCCCTTTTCGTCTTCGATCGAACCCCTTTTGGGGGGTACACCTTTCTTCCCTGCAGGCCGGGCCCCGGCAAGCGGCGGGGCGGCCGCGGACCGTCGGCCTGGCCAGCGGCAGCGCTGATCGGCGGGGCGGCCGCGGACCGTCGACCCGACCCCGAGAGGGACGGACAGGGGACCGACCACGACGACGACGACGACGACGTCGACGACGACGGCAACGACGGAAAACGACAGCAGAGCCACGAAGGGCACGAAGTAGGCCACGAAGGGCGACAGCGGGGACACGAAGGGAATGCGTATGGGGCCACGAAGAGCGCGAACGAGCGTGGGCCACGAAGGGCAGATAATGCGGGGCCACAGAAGGCAACGATGGGGCCACTGAGGGTAGCACCTGGGCCACGTAGGACAATGAGGGGGCCACAAACGGCGACAGCGGGGCCACGAAGGGCATGCACATGGGGCCACAACGGGCGCGAACGAACGGGGGCCACGAAGGGCATACGTATGTTGGGCCGCGGAGGGTACGGACGGGGCCACTGAGGGCAGCAACGGGGACACGAAGGGCAGCGAGGGGGCCACGAAGGGCGACAGCGGGGCCACGAAGGGCATGCATATGGGGCCACCACGGGCGCGAACGAGCGGGGGCCACGAAGGGCATACATATATGGGCCACGAAGGGCAGCGAGGGGGCCGCGAAGGGCTGCAACGGGGCCACGAAGGGCAGCGAGGGGGCCACGAAGGGCTGCAGCGGGGCCACGAAGGGCTGCAACGGGGCCATGAAGGGCAGCGAGGGGGCCACGAAGGGCTGCAACGGGGCCACGAAACAAAGCGACGGGGCCACGAAGGGCTGCAACGGGGCCACGAAGGGCAACGAGGAGGCCACGAGGGGCTGCAACGGGGCCACGAAACAAAACGAGGGGGCCACGAGGGGCTGCAACGGGGCCACGAAACAAAGCGAGGGGGCCACGAAGGGCTGCAACGGGGCCACGACGGGCAGCGATATCCCGATTTTTAGGTAATGCGTGAAGGAGTCTTAAGCGTGAGCGCGACTCCTGGGTGCCTGGGTGTCGGGAGCGCGGCGATGGAGTAAATTGCAACAAATTCCAACGCAAGGGCGCTATTCTTCAGTAGATTGCAAGCAAGTCTCCAGCGAGAGCGCGACTCCAGAGCGCAAGAGGAGCGATTCCTGAATAAATCGTAAGGAAGTCGCAAGCGAGAGCGCGATTCTTGAATAGAATGCGAGGAAGTCTCGGGCGGGAGCGGGGGTCCTGGCTAAATTGTGAGGAAGTCGCAGGCGGGAACCGTTGTTGTCGTAACCCGGGGGCCAGGGGGCCAGTTTGAGCAGGAAGATTTTCTTTGACAAAAAACAAAGTGCGAGCCCCGGGAGGGGCATTTCAATGGGAAAAAATCAATGTGCACCAGTGGGGGGATCAACAATAATTATTCTTTAAGAATGAGAGTTCAACAGCACCAGCAACAGCAATTTCATAGTGATGGCAAACTTCGGTATAAGACATGGTCCTTTTCAGTATCCGAGTGTCCGCGAATCCCCGTGGAAAGCGAGGCCGGGAGAGACGCCGACGACTACGACGACTTTAAGTAGTTGCTTCCTCCTTCCGTCCTCCTCCTTGTCCTTGTCCTCCTCCTCTTTCTCCTCCTTTCCCTGTGAACGCTTGTCAGAAAAATCCATCCGTGAAGACGAGAACGGGCCCGTGCAATACCCCGTGGTGCCCCCCCTTGGGAGTGCTGAAACCAGCGCCTCGCGTGAGACATCTTCGGAAACTGCTCCGAAAGAGAAGGATGTTGAGCACCCAGACAGGCAAACCGCCTGAGACATCCACCCCAAGCTGGGCGCGGCCGGACCTGTGCAATACCCGCTGGCGCTCCCCCTTGGGAGTGCTGAGCTCAGCGCCTCGCCTGAGACATCCTCGGAAACTGTTCCGAAAGAGAAGGATGTTGAGCACCCAAACAGGCAAACCGCCTGAGACATCAGACATCCCCCCAAATCTGGGCGCGAACGGGCCTGTGCAATACCCCCTGGCGTCCCCCTTCCGGAGTGCTGAAACCAACGCCTCGCCTGAGACATCGTCACAACGTGTGTTTGAGTCTGAGCACGGAAGTGGTGTGGCTGAGTCTGAGTGAGGAAGGGCGAGGCAGAGTATGATCGAGTCTTGGTGTGAGTGGGTCTGGGCGCGAGTGAGTCTGAGTATGAGTCTGAATGAGAGTGAGTGTGTGTGTGTGTGGGGAGGTGACCTGAGTATCATCAAACTTGAATATGAGAAGCCACTCGAAGTGCGAGTGAGTTTGTATATGAGTGATCCCGAGCATGAGAAACCTGAGTATCAGTAACCTCAGAGCGAGGGCATCTGGGTATGAGTGAGTCTGAACATTAGTGAGTCTACATGTGAGTGAGTCAGAGAAAGAATGATGGCCTGAGGATGGGAAGTGTTCCTTCCTTCCTTCCTGTGTTCCTGTGTTCCGCGCGGCCTAAATAATAACAATAACCCCATCTTAGGATATGGACAACAACAACCACCACAATCATTTTAAGACAGCTCGTCATTGTTGCACGTTCCACCCCCCCGATTCCCGCCCTCTTCGTCTCCGATCGTACCTCCTTGGGAGGGATTCCTTTCCTTGCGGGGTCTGGCAAACTTAGGCCGGCGAGCGGGCGTGCAGACCCAGCTGGGCGTTTGGGTTTGTCCAGGAAGACCCGAGGGCGGGCGGTCGGGCAGACCCGAATGGGCGGGTTGGCGGTCGGGTCTGGCGGGTGGACCCTGACAAGTGGTGTGGGCGCGCGGGCGGACCGGGCGGATCCTGACGGCTGGGCGGGCGGACCCTATCGAGCAGGTCGGGCGGGCGGGCGGGCGGAGCCTGGACGAGTGGCGGGTGGACTCTCACGACCCGGAGGGCGGGCCGGGTGGGCGGACCCGAACTTGCCGAGCATGCGTGCCAGGCGGACCCGAATGGGCGGGCTGGCCCTGATGGGCGGGTCTTCGGCGGACCCGAAAAGGCGGGCGGGCGGGCGGACCTTGCCGGGCGGGTGGGCGAGACGAATTTCGCTCTCGCCGTGGAGGAGTCGTGCTGTCACCTGGGCTTCCCCACGATGTACTGAGGAATCGCGCTTCTCTCGGCTCAGGATTGTCCCTCTCGCCCAGGGCTGTCTTTCAGTATGCACATAGTAATCGCGCTCTCGCCTTGGCCGTCCGCACGATTTCCTCAGGAATCTTGCTCTGATGTCGCGCCCGCCAGGCCGCCTGCCCTCGAGTGTCCGCCCGCTGGACCCGCCCGATTGGGTCTGCCCATTCGCTTGCTTAGAAGCTGGCCCGCTCATCAGGATCCGCCCGTCTGCCCCGCGGGCATTCGTGTCCCACCCGCCGGGCCCGCCAGTCAGGGTCCGCTCGCCCGGCCCGGCCGGTAGTGTCCGCTCGCGCGGCAAGCCTGTCTTTCCTTGGAAAGGTTTTGCACGTTGGGTGGCGCCCCAGAGGAGCCCCCCGAAGGAGGCACGCTCTTAGGCTTCAAGGACGGGGGTCAAGGGCTTGGGATGTACCTACATGTTGAGTGACAAATTAGGTCGAAACCAACCTTGTTGAGATGACTGCTGTTGTTGGTGTTGGGCATGGCGATGATGATGCTTATGCTGATGAGGATGACGATGTACATGACGATGGTGGTGATGATGGTGGTGGTGGTGGTGATGGTGATGAGGATGAGGATGATGATCACGATGATGAGGATGATGAGGACGATGAGGGTGATGATGAGGGTGAGTCTGACGATGTCGATGATAACGATGACAATGACGACGACGATGCTGCTGCTGCCGATTATGATGATGATGACGACGATGATGCTGCTGCTGATGATGATGATGATGATGCTGCTGATGCTGATGATGGTGATGTTAAGTTTGATGATACTCATGATGATGACGATGTCGATGCTGATGATGATCGTGATGAGGCTGCTGCTGCTGATGATGATGCTGTTGCTGCTGCTGGTGATAATGATGATGATGCTGATGATGACGAGGGTTATGTTGATGACTATGACGGTTCTGACTATGATCATGCTGTTCTTGATGATGCTGCTGATTCTGATGATGCTGCTGCTGATAATCATGTCGATGATGATGCCCGTTGTAGACCCATGAGTCAGATCGGGGACACTCGCCGACGTGTTTTTGCTGCTCCTTGTCCTCCTGCTTCTACTCCTCATGCTGCCGATGCTCCTTCTGGCAAGCCCAGAGTTCGCATTCCCGAGGACAACGGGAGCGGCCTGGCGGCGATGCTGTCCGTGGCCAGGGCCTTCGCGAAGGCGGGGGTGAAGCCGAAGAGGACGATCTACTTCGTCGGCTTCGCGGGCGCGCTCTCGCTCCTCCTCCTGCCCCACCACCGCTCAGGGGGAGGAGGAAGATGATGAGGATGAGGATGAGGATGAGGATGAGGATGAGGATGAGGATGAGGATGAGGATGATGATGATGATGATGATGATGATGATGATGATGATGATGATGATGATGATGATGATGATGATGATGATGATGATGATGATGAGGATGATGATGATGACGATGATGATGATGATGATGATGATGAGGAGGATGAGGATGAGGATGAGGATGAGGATGAGGATGAGGATGATGGTGTTGACGTTGATGTTGATGATGCTGCTGATGCTGATGCTGATGATGATGCTGATGCTGCTGCTGATGATGCTGATGATGCTGATGATGAGGATTCTGATGATGCTGATGATGTTGCTG